GAAGTAAATTTCTTAAGTACAAGCATTTAAGTAAGCAAAAGCTAAAACATAATTTATAATAATGTTCTCGTTATTTTCGAATACACTATCATAATTAGAAATTATTAATATCTATAGAAAAGTAAATATAAAGAAAATATTTTATCTTATGCTTCTGACCCTCAAGAAGATATTACAGTTCCATGCACTATGATTGTTACCAGAATGGAGGTTTTGACAGAAGCTTGAACCAAGGCAAAGTATAGTTAGTGGTCGACTTAGTAGAAGCTGCTCTTTCCTTGAATGGCAGGATATGGTAGCTTAATAAGGCTGTCCATGCCAAACTCATGCCCCCTACATCAGTAAATTAGTAAGCACCACAGATGTATTTCCCTTCAGTTTGAAAAGAAATGCAATTAACAGAGAGACAAGATCAACTATTAAATAAATCTATACAGAACATTCTGTATATAATTTGTATACTGAGTTACAAGCTTTAAATTTTGTATAAAAAAATTTTATGGACATATCAGAGAGAGATAAAGGATTAAATTAATAAAATATTAATTTTTGAGCATATTTTTCATTAATTTTTAAAGTTTAAACAAAATCTTTAAAATTAAATTTTCTGAATATTTCATAATTATTTTTTTATATTTAATAAAACATACTTTTGCTTTAATCAACATTTCTCGAAATTTGTATTTATAGTAAATACTAAATCTGCCACTCCCTTAATATTTGACTTTTATCATATATAAATTGCACTGTACCTAATATTCGAAATACAGTCATCCAGTTATAATTCTCCAAAAGATATGATCCTAAGGACCCAGTGAGTAACGTGCCTAGAGCAGATCCTGATGTTAATAAGCTAAAAAAGGAGGCACGTTCCACTTCGTGCATACGTTGGCTGATCAAACTAATCATGCTAGGAAAATGCATTCCTGCAAGTGACAGGCATTGTTATTCCAGATTACTTTGAATTTAGCAGTATAATATAAAAGTTACCTTGAAATGCTCCATTCACTATTCTCAACATTACAATAAGGAAAATAGAAGAATCATCACTTGAAAAAAATTCTATGATCTCTGGCATAAAGAAAGTTGTCGTTGACCAACCCAGAGCAGATATCCATAATACTTTGTGTCCACCAATTCTATCACTAATATAGCCGCTGGCCACTTGCGTCAATGTGTATCCCCAGAAAAAACTTGACAGTATTATACCAGAGTCAGGCTTTGACCAGTGTCTTTCCTTGCTAACAATAGGCATGAGTAAAGGAAGAGATGTCCGTGTGGCATATATCAGACAGGTACCACATAACAATGATAGGAACCATTTTCGTCTCTCTTTTCTAAATAACATAAATAAAAGTTTTTATGTACATTTTTAAGAACATGCATTTTTTAAGACTAAAATCACACTTATACTAAATTAATATTTTGACATTTCATATAATATATGCAAATTCTATCGATATATACATATATTTGACATCTTTATAACCATACACACCTAGACCAGGACGAGCTGATTCTGTCAACCGTGTCCGGTAGGACACCCTGCGAGATCTGCAGTCGCATTTTTCATCGACTTGTTTAGCTCATCGGTGGTCGTTTTAATTTCCATATCAGAACATCGGCTATTATCGATGTTCTGTCAAAACACGCCACACTGTCTCGCACATGTACTTAACAAGCAATGTATGTGCAGCCAATTACTAACTTCTGTTTATGCTTGCATACATACTCGAACATCACATCGAGTGTGCTCATTTTCTTATCCTTTTTTTGATAAAATCTTAGTTCCAAAATTTTCTAAGTTGACTCGAATTTACAAAAGTAACGTTACATCACGTTACATAAATAATTAAATCGAGTATTTCATTTTGTAGCATGGAATTGACAATTAACAGAAAACCTGTGCGACAAAAAGCTATCTTTGACTTATGCTGTTCTTTTCTTCTAAAATAGAGGTGCTCAACTTATTCATAATATACTAAACGTTCAATAAGATTCACTATCGCTATTCGGTTTGATTTCTTCCGCGTTTTGTACGGCTATGCAAATCCATTTGGATTGACCTTTACGATATGCGAATAAAAAAATGGAGAAAACAAAAGTGGAATGGAAACATTGATATTTTAATGTGTTATCTGTAAAATGTGATTAAATACAACACTCTAGTTTATAAACTAAATTTTTAAACCTAAGTAAATGTTATTTCATTGTCTAAAGAAGTCTTTATTATGCACAAAAACTAAATATGTAATTATTTCTCTTTTTAAGCACCACATTCAATTTACAGTATATGCAAGTCATGATGTGTGTGAAATTAACAGGATTTACAAATTAACATTTTAAAAATCCAAGAGACAAATGACACAGGTAAATTGAATATAACTTTTTTTCAAAAACATTTTCCAGATTGTCATCAATGTCCATTTGATATTAAGCAATTGATTAGAATGTCATCATTTTCTTAATTTTTTTTGTTATCATCAATTTAAGATGAATAAGCAAAAATTATTTTACTTCAGGCAGAGAATAACATCATGTATAATTCAACAATTATAAATTGTAAGTATGCTTATGCTATTATGTCAAAAATATATCATATGTATTATATTTTTTAATATTTTTTCACTTTTTACAATCTTAAAAGATTAAGAGCTCTAAAAAAATAATAAAAATAAGAATTAATAATTTAATTCTACAGGCGAAGAATATGTCAAAAAATGGCAAGCATTTTTACAGCACTGCAACGTTCATACATACATTCTCAAATTTAAAGAGCAACTTGCTCATAATCCATTTCTGCAAGTGGCTACCTTTGTTGCTGTGGCGTCACTATTAGCACCTATTATTCTATTTATTATATTTGCTATTGTCAGTGCTGTATTCGCCTTTGTTGGTTTTATGATGATTCAAGGTGAGAAATAATATTTCTGTCTTTGTTATAAAATTTGCTACATTCTTGCAAGTGTGTATTATATTTTCAGTTACAGTATTGGCTATTGGCGCAAGTATTTTAAGCTGCGTTCTTTTCTGCACTGCAAGTACCTTTATAATGATAGGATTATGCATACTTTTTATCTATTATACGTTCCATTATACAAGTCATGCTTTTAATCTTTTAACTTGTAAGCCTAAAACCTGATACAGCTGTTTATAGACCATTATATTCTTAATAAGAATAAATGAGACCATGAGTAAAATTGAAACTTATATATAAAAGGAGTCTATTTCTTTTCATCACAAATTATAGGTCTTACTACAAACATATCTTAAACAGCTAGCCATATAAATATGATATATACTTTTATTTTTATAACTTCATATAAGATAACAGTTTGATTAATCGATGATCAAGTGTAAATCCTCAATATATTGCAAAATGGAAAAATTAAGATTAAATACTTTGTTTATATATTATACATAAATTATTTAGATATTAATATTAGTCAAAGTGTTTTGGTTAGACATTTTTGTTTTCAGTTTCAGCCTTACTAGTAGATAAATATATTTCATGCCATAGAGAATCATGTAATTTGTCACCAATCTCTTGAGCTTTGTAAGAAAAATGATGGATATAATCACTTTTGTTTGTTACATCTGTATTTAGAGTTAAGGATTTGTTATTGTTTTGTCTGCAAATATGCTTTTACACTTGTAAAATTTTCTATACCATAATTTATCCCAACTATTGATGAGGAAAAAATTAATGTATTGAATATACAAATATATCTGCTGTATTTAAAATAAATTACACAGATTATGAATAATAAAAAAAGGATACAACCTTCAACAGTACCATCTTTTGTAGTTTCATAATCCCAATGTATTTTAGTTAAATTTTCATACAATTTGTATTTTTCCTATAAAAATAAACAAAGTGACAATAATAATAATAAAAATAGCATCCAATATGTCAATTATAATGCATTATGATACTTACATTCCTTGTTCTAGCAAATGCTGATCTTTGTCAGATGGTTTTGCAGATTTCAATTTGTTTTGTTCTCTTTCCAATTGTTTAACCTCTTGTAATAATTTTTTTTTCTCAGTTTCTAATTCTTTCTACAAAAAAAAAGTTTAATTATCCTAGAATGTCTAAGATTGAAAAAATATGCAAAAAAACATCATATTTACCAAATAATCATTTTGTTTTGATAATTCACTATTTTTTTGCTCCAAAATTTGAGTCTCTCTACATAGCGTTTTTTTTAAAAGATCCAATTTTGACGTTGCTTGCTCAATTTTAATATCAACTTCTGCAAAAGACAAAATTCATGTTATTCCATTCATACTTTATAAAAATTCATACTTTATAAAAATATCACAATAAAAGCGACACAATGTAATTTTTTCTAAATTATTTTTTTTTTAACAAAAAAAACATTCTCTACACACATGTATGTGTAATATCAAATAAGTTTACCATTTAATTGTTGATCTTGTTTTCTTTTAAATTCATCTGTAATTTCTGTCTGCGATGATAACAAATTTTCCAGCACTGACACATTTATTTTCACATGTTTTTCTTTTAATTTTCTTATTTCTTCCATTGTATCTTGTACGAAACAAAACGTCTACAACCATCTACGAAAGTTACGTTAAGTAAGTAAGATGCGTTATGGCTCCGAAGAGAAAGTTAAAATTCAAATGACAAACTAAACCGATGACATATAGATATACATAGATGTTGATGCATGAGTAACCAAGTATTTATATGGAAGATTCACACTGCATCTATTAACAATTCAATATCCAATAAGAAAAAGAGTTTCAGCTAACATTTTGCTTATCCCTAAAAAACAAATTTTCTTATTGGATATTGAATATGCTATATTAATTAATGAACGCAGTATGAATCTTACATAAGGGAATTGCAGCGAGTAGAGTTCAATGCGTTTAGGAACACGTAAAATTTTGCCGCGATTATAGCAGCCGTTTAAATTTGAATTTCTTTTCTTTTTAATCTTAATGCTTCTTGAAATAACGATTAATTGGAATAAGTTGTATTACACTAATGGTACAATAAACAAGAGTATGGCAACAGGAAAATCATACAATTCTAGTTTAACAAGTATCATTTTAATTTAATGCCAGTTTTCAAAGTGCATATGTATTTTTTCACACTAATATTGTTAATTCTGCAGTGCATATAATCATATTTCTATTATAAAAAAATTTAGTTTGTGCTTATATCTAGTGAATAAAATAAGTATAGAGTAATACAAAAGCGATTGAATAGATAGATAATATAAATAAGAACGTGCACTCTCAGACTTACTCGCATTTACTCACTCGTTCGCTCCCCTGTTTTTCCGATAAATTTTTTAATAAAAAATTGTTTTCGACTCTCTCTCTCTCCCTCTCTTTTATAATGCTTTTTAAAACTTGTTGAGCATAAATTATAGTCAATACATTGAATAACATTCCATAGAAAGATATAAAAAAGATATAAATTTCACTATGTACAAAGGTATATGTATGTATATATATAATCATAATCTTAAAATATCCTATTTTCATCATTTAAGTAATATATATACTTCGAAAAAAATATGTAGGCACTTTATCGCATATGATATTTTCTATGTTATATTAATACATTTAAAATTAGTCGTTTATCTTCTGCTAATATACATAAGAAATATTAATATATTATATTTCAATTATTTATAAGATCTATATATCAAAGACATCGTTTATAATATTTCTATGTAAAAAGTATTATTAACATATAAAGACGACAATAATATTTCAAACGACAGAATTATAATTTTCACATATTGAGTAAAATTGTGGTATTAAAAAATAATTATCATAATTCTTAGATAATATTTGGTAGACATACACTATCTTAATAGATTATATATTTTCTGTCTGCTACACAAAATCTAAATTATTTTTAAACGATGTTGAAGGTTTACATGCTTAGTGCATATAATAAAGAAGCGTCAATCGCTAAAAAAAACGTCTTGCAACTCAATACAAATTTCATATTTTATTATTAATAAAAGAAATGTCTAATTTTATATTTTACATTAATTAATCGTAGTTTAAAAAAAAAGTTATATAAAGAAAAAAGAATTTCACTTGCACTAGAAATATACACAAAGATATAATTTTTACTGCAAATGATTAAATGCCGAATTAATAGTTAAAAATAAAAAAAAATATATCCAGAATATATCTTGTAAAAAAATATATATCTAATTACATATACATTTCCTTAATATTATGCTTTCTTATTAATATCAATATTTGTATTACTAGTGCATCTCTGATCAACTGAGCTAATGGACCTTCTTCTTAATATTTGTAAAAAAAGAGCAATATTAGATAGTTTCCATTATCAATATATACAATGTGTTAATGAATCTTTTATTTATTATAAAAAGTTATTTGTAAAAATGTAAACAAAAAATAATTTTCTATAATAAATAAAAGATTCGTATGTATGTACTATGTCATTTTTTTAAATATATGATATAGAATAGTTTATGAAAATTAGTCAATATTTTAAAAAAGTATTGACACTGTTATAAAATACAAATTACAATATATATTAATATAATAAAAGTTATTGCTTTTCTCATTTATATAAGTATACACATTAAATATATAATTTACATGTAATATATAAATTTCTAAATTGCTCAGATTGTGTCACAATGGATTATTTTAAAATTTACTTTTAACAAGAACAATTATAATATTAATAACAAAGTAGGATTTCTTCGAATTGTACAGAATAATTTCGAAATGGATAAAGCAGTTACTTATGATATTTAACATGTAATGTTAGATAATATTTAGTTCAGTCTTCCGTGTTACTATATTCGTTTCTATATTCTTTGCAAAATATATTTCGTCTTTAGCACACTTTAGAGAAAAATAAACTCTTTATAATTTAGATAACTGCGTGAATGTGCTGTATGTATTACACACGTAGAACCAGGAAATGGACGGTTATTTTGAAATACTTGATGGTGGAATACTAACCTCGTGATGTGCAGCAAATTTAACTGTATCTCTGTGTCGGAACATTTATACAATCCGTCAATAGAAAGAAATTATTATCTTTGGTTGCGTTGTGTTAAAGAGATGAATTTGGTTCATTCCTTGTTACTGGGCTATATTCTGACTATTCTTATTGCGATTACGCAACAACGATGCATCTGAAAGAGAGTAAGTGCCAGGTTCGAATACAGGCGGGTATTCTAAGCCAGGGTAATCAGGTGGCGGAGACGTTGGCGGTGGTATGTATGGTAACGTTGGAGGTGCCAATGTGCTCCTGCTAGGATTGGAAAAACCCTTGTGACCAGATGAGTATCCGCTGCCGTACTAAAAAAAGTAATTGTACATATATTCAAATGTCTGTATTGTCAAATTTTTAAAACCAAATAATTCTCTGTATTGTCAAGTTTTTTTTTTTATATTTTATTTTCGTTTGTAATACCTTTGATATGTTAGAGGGTGTCAATGCATCAGGACTACAATCACTGACAGAACTGACCGAGCTGAAACTTTGACTGAGCGTCTGTTGAGAGGGGCTATTGCCGCTGAAAGAACTGTGAGACTGGCTGATACCGCTATCACCGGGACTTTGACTGCTGGAACGCGTGGACAATCGGTGCTGCGATTGATTCAAGCAACATTTGTCACGGAAAAGCGCTCTGTGCAACCTTGGCGAACCTATTTGAATAATAGAATTCGAAATCAGTTCGCGAAAATAAATTGCATTTAATTTTCATTTAGATTTAATAAAAATCAATTACCTAGTATAGTCTTTTGGGTATCTTTAGGAAGATCCAATGTGCATGGTTTCTGTTTACTACCGAATAGACTTTTCAGGCGGCTCCCTTTCTGCACCTGTTCGCTCTTATCTAAGTGCATTTCGAACGCAGCTCTCATGCCTTCTTGTTCAAAGGGTGACGATGGTATGGGTGGTGGTTGGTACTGCGCGACGTTTTTTAAACGGTTTTTATCACAGCTCGAGCCTTTCTTATCGCCACGTCTCAACGAATCCAGCCAGTTCTTATCGGAAGAATTGTAATCGTGACGATTAGTGAGATTAAAACTCCCTTTTCGACTAACCGATACATCTTTTTTTGCATTACGTTGTTGTGCCTCGGAAGATACGTAACTTGCGAGATCACCACTGGATCCAGGATAACCTGCGCGAAAAATCAGGACAATTGTAACAACAATAATCGGTAAGTATTGCTAAAATGATATAATTTCACTAGATTTCATTAAAATTACCTTCATTTCTAACAAGCCGCTTTGGCATCGTCTTGAATTCCTCTATTAGAGTATCAACCTCCCTCGAAGTAAGATAATCATTTGTAAGATAATCATGCGTCTTGTAGCTATCGTAATTAGAAGATTGTACACATGCGTCATGCTCATAGTATCTACTATAGCTTGGAGAATCCTGCTTGTCTAAACTCGTCACGTTTCTCCAATGAATCGAATCGCCGTGCTTTGCCTGCTGAGTATTCGTGAGCTCATGAGCTTGTCTCTTCTCTGCGGAACCGGAAGCATCCCAGAGCTTTTTCTGGGCGCCCACTGTCACACACTTGTTATAAGATTTATCATTTACGCAATCTTTCCCTTTGCTTTCAAACCGGCTAGTGACAAGACCATCCCCGCTGAATTGACGCGGTACATGCGCATGTGTATTTGCATTCCTTGAATGAGTATACATAGCATTATTGTTTGATGCTTCGTCTGTAGTCCTGCCATAAATACCCATGTCCTTTCTCGAGGATGCGTCACCCAATAGTCTAACTTGCTCGTTATATATCGTATCGTTATCATTCAGATTCCTATGTTGCACATGCACATGATCACTGGTCAGAGGCGTCACACGCGAAGACAACGATCTGTTTATCATATTTTGCCGCTGATCTTCGTCTTGTTGCGCCAGCATAAATTCTTCCAACGTGATGAAACCTTGCAAGTCATCCAGTCTTCTGCTACGGCTACCGATAGGTCTGATGGACGATAAATGTTGTCCGAATTATTTTTGTGGCAAATATTTCTTTAATGCGTTGCAGAAAATGTGCGGTACAAAAATTACCTATCTGTAGCACTCCGGTAATCTCCCATATCTTGGCTGCTCAACGTGCTTGACATGTCCGTAGCACTCTGCGAGGCGCTTAATCCATAAAATGTACTACCTGCAATTGTCATTTGCAAGTCCGGAGATTCTGCATTAGAATCTTCTTTCCTGCAAAATGTTTGGTTATTTTTAAATAAACGTTAAATATGTATCGATATGGAATATCCTTAATATACTTACTTGTTCGGCGTTGATGAGGGAAGCACTCTTCTGTAACTTCGAAATTGCGCCGTTGGAACAGGAATATTCTGATTTCTGGTGCCGAGAAACTTCAAATACTTTCGATCCAAACTTGCACCACCAATCTCGTGATCCTTAAATGCTCCGACATCCTTGCGTACCTTTTTCAAAGAATTAAATGACTTTTCCACATTTGCTTTGGATTCGGGTGTGCATTTAGTTTTGCTCTTGTGACTACTCTCGCTGTCGCTCTCGTCGGTTTCGCTAAAAAGCCCGATGCTTTGATTGTGGGTATCCGCGCCTAAAGTGCCTTTATTGATCGCATCCAACCACAAAATCAAGTAGTCCTCAGTATCGGCGGCAAAATAAAACACTGTCCCTGTGTGATATACTTTGAAAGCATACTTCCTCGATTTTACTTCGGCAGCTGGCGACACGGTAAAAGCCGTTAATACGATCAAACAGTCAGCTTTTATACTGTCTTGAGTTTTAAACCTAATCCAAAATAAAACGTACATATTTATTTGATTATACAATATTTATCAGGTGTTTTTTTAGACAAGTTTACCTGTACAGCGATGAACACTTTAACACAAACCAGGCCTTCGCCCATGCGCCGCCTGCTCCCCTGCTACGATATGTCAACCATCCTTCTAAATCACTGACACCGATGTCTTTTACAGACACATTTCTCCTTTCTAAAAAAAGAAAACATATTTCTTTATATTCTAATTAATAAAAAGTGTAAGACTAGGACATATCGTTTTGAAAATAATTTTGTATGTTAAAATATATAATACATTTTTATAAAAAATAATAAATATGTGTTTTTCAACAAACTTTTCAAATTTTAATACTTTAAATTTATTAAATATTTCCTTAATCATACTTACTTGCTAGTAACATATTTCGCTTTCTACTGCTTCTCGGGCTGCTGTTGGATTTGCTCAAAGTGCCGTGCAAGCCAATACTTCTCGCTACCATCATAGCTCTATTAACGACACTTTTTTCAAAGCTCTTATCCTTTTCTGATAATTTTGGTTTTAGATCGAATGATGCCAGTTGTTTCGAATGCATTACACCGTCAGGACACTCGACATTGCGAGGAGAATGATCAGATTTACAACAGTCTGCTAAAGATTGACTAGAGCAAGCAAACTTTTCGACAAATGGCTCATACTTTTCAAACGAATATTTTTCTTCTCTGGATCTGTCATAATTTTCATTATATAATGAAATTTCAGACTGGGTGAACTTTGTATCATTTAGATTTATAGTTGGTGATTCATCAATAAAATCCATTGAATGCTCTGGGTAATTAAGTGCACCCACGTCAGAGAGATCCTTTCTGTCTTGATAATCTGAATTGTTTCTAACGTGATTCGTAGGTAAATTTAAATCTGCTTTTTTAAATTCTCGTCTTAAGCTGGGTCTTTCCGGAACCTGAGGTTTTTCTAACTCCTCTGGAATTTTTGAAGTACTGTTTAATTTTAAGTCGGGTACCGCTTGTTTCGTGTAATATTTTCGAGGCGGCGGTTCTGGCGGTGTTATATGCGATTTATTTTCGTATTTCCTAACAGACTCGACCTTTGGTAATTCTATGTAGCGGCAAGATTGTACCGTGGCGTGCGCCAAAGGCGAGTCTGTGGATTTTATCTCCTTAGCTTGCGACGTTGTGTTAATCTGTATTTTTGAGACATTATGAATAACATTCGGCAAGTTATCTTCAACGAAATTGGCGTTATTGCTCGACGGTATCTTTGCCTCGATAGAATTCTCTCTTGATACCACGGAAGACTTCTTTTCAAGCAGTTTTGTATGCTGAGGTGAAGCACAATCGACCGTTTGCAAAATTTTCCCGCACTTTTGCGACATTTCGTCTCTTTCAGTGCTGTTGCTATTATTATTACATATTCCTTCGTCGTTTAACATTTCCGAGTTACTACAATCAGTATTTTCCTGACAATTGCATGCCGAATTTTTGGAACAAACGCACTTAGCACTTAACTTTTTGTTACATGTACTTATATCCGATATATTACATTCAATATCACTTTGGTTTTTCTCCTCTACGCTATTCCTAAGATTTGTGTCATTTATTGTAATGCGTACGGTACTTTTATGCGAGTCTAATTCCTTAGGCACTCCAAAGACACGTACTGGTTCGTCCGCATTCTCATGCGCAATCTGTTTCTCGATGTTGCTGACTTTTTGAGCAACATTACCGCCGCATCTCTTGGTGGATGCTTCTTTGTCCTCCTTGCTCGCATCTTTCGGTTTTCTGTGATCGGCACTCTCGGTAAACATACGAACATCAGTCTTTGTTAAATTACTGCTTGATACATTATTGGAACAATGGACAGGTAAATCTAATTTACAAAATGGACCTTGAAAAAGTGCTAACTTCCTATCTTCCTTATTCTCGGCATCTGATAGATCGTACGCGGGCGTACTGTAACTTTTGTCCAATTTACCGCGTTCTTTAACATAACGCATTTCGCTTTCTTTGTCTCCCGGCGCGTTTTTACTAATGCTACATGTATCGCTAATAAAATTATTACATTCATCCAAAGGCACAGTTGTATTATTTAAATTATTGCTATTGCCGACATTATCCGTGAATGCTTGCAAGTGCTCTCTAATGGTATCTTTACTAACAGCACTGCCATCATTGCAGCTCTGCATGGAAGTAATCCTTTCTTTTGCGTCGTAAAGCATTCTTTTCGCATCATCTAGATGAGTACCTTCAGCGTCAGTCAATTTTTCCGTAAACTGTACCTTTTTATCATCCGCTTGCTCATCAGTCTTCTTCCTTCTTTTCGCCGATTCTAATCCTAAACATGTCTGCGGTCGTATATTTATTGGTACATTATCCAAACCGTGAGCGCAAGATGCCGCTTTGTCACGCAACTGGAAGCTCGTACTGTGCTCTTGCTTCAATTCCTTCCAAAACTGTTCGATATCGATACCATGTTTGGTTGTGGGACTGGCACCTGTTATTGTAGCTCGTCTTTGGACCAAGTTTCTCGGTTTTGTGGAATACAGACGGATCGAAAGAGGTGGTTCCACTTCGCTGTCCGAATCGCTACTATCCGTAGTCATCGTGTCTAACATGTTAACTGTATCTAAAATACTTGCTGGTTCTGGGCTGGGATTCTTTGGCATATGTCTGTATAATGAAATATTTTGTATTAAATACAAAAATATATGTATACTTGGAATATTAAATTAAAAAAAAAACAAAAGATGCGATAAAATTATATTTGTTAAACTAAAACTACGTACTATGTATCTATAAAATCAGTGTTGTTAGTTACAAAAAGAATATTAGCAGCCACAATGAAGATACATGTAGAAAGGCAGCTTACCTAGGTAACGGCATTGTAAAATCAGGTATTGTTAATAATTCTGGTCTAGGGGATGGGAGATTATGTTGCCATCGTGTTGTATAGGAAGTTTTTTTGTTACTTGGAAGTCTATATGGTTTTATGTAAATTTGCCCGTAAACTTTAGTATGCCTTGGTCTACGTTTTAGAGTCAAGAGGATTTCTGCTGGGCTTTCACGAAATAATTCAAGCAAATTCTTCCTCTCCCAACCAACTACCGTTTGATAATTTACCTAACAAATTTACACATATAATTTAAGATTAAACAATTTATTAAATTATAACGTACGAATAGAGAAATGTATTACCTGAACTATCTCATCTCCTTCTTCCATTTTGCCACACTGATGTGCAGCAGATCCAAACTTAATTTCAGCTATCTGATGTGCTCCGTGAAAAGATGGTAAAATATAAAAACCCTAAAAGATGTTTTGATAATTAAGAAAATAATATTAATAACATGATATAATATATTCATGAAATATATTAACTCAGTGTATGCTTCTTGATTATCCGCTTACAAAGTAAATATTATCTAGACAGGAAGTCACCATCACAATGTTACAGTTGTTTGATAGGGTTTTATCAATACAGGATATGATGTGCCAAATCATTCTAGAGTAAATATAGCTATTCAATATGTAGTTTCTTAATTAAGAAAACTTTTACAATCAGCACGCAATAGAATCAAATAAACACGAAAAATATGTAAATACAAATATTTATGATGCAAATTTGTGGAAACTTGATAACATAGTGATTGAGATATCGCAAGTAGTGTTATGTTATATAATAGTTGAAAACTTACCAAATCATCGCCAGATTTTTTTTTTAATGTTGCTAGATCTAAACTAGCAGGCTGTAGAATCATAGGATCAGCAATATCTTGAATAATATAATCCGCCAATCTTGCCAATTGACCACAAGTCGTTCTAATTTCTTCGATTGGCTTCTCAGCAAATCTATCCCTTTGTGCACACGTAGCCATTTCTAAAGATAGTTTCATTAATTCAGCCTTCTTGTCATTATATTCTAATTGTCCACTAAAGGGAGAGCGATCTAGCCATCTCACAAGAGGTTTAACTGCCATCACAACTGATGCCACATCTGACAATGTTTGAGTGGTAACAGGTTTTGAATCAGTTTGACGAGACAATTCATTATGCAAACTGTGTGCCTGGCATGAAAGTCGCAATGCCAATAGCTGCAAATTTTCTCTATCCAACTCAAAATGAAAATTTCTTAGATACTCCACAGCTTCAAGAATAATTTCTTGATGTCCAAGTTTCAATACGCCCAAATGTTCTAAATCTTCTGATCGTAAACTCAATAATTGTTGCCCGTTAATACTATGATTCATAAAACTATGGACATAGGGCAATATGGAACTATCTAAACCTGTGACACAGAAAAATTAAATTAGTGGGGATATTCGTGGAATAACTCGGTCATAATAGGCCATCATCATTTTAATTACGTAGTATTAAGAAAGGAATTCCATCGCATGTAGAGAATGAATGAATATAATTGGCGCAAACAAGAATTTAACAAAGAAATTACACAGAATTTAATAATTAAATAGTATTATAGTCTTTGTACAATTGAAAATTGTTCTTTTTATTATGTTTATGTGTATTTATCATTCTGACAGCAAAATAACATCTAAAATACATAAGATATAAATAAATTAGTGATAAAAATTATAAACTTTTTCACTTCAAATGAGTGACAGTATTGTTACTTTTTGTAAAACATCGTTAGTTATCGTCAACGATTAATCAATCAACGTCGAATTTCAGCGGGGACGCTGGAAATCATATGAGAATTACGCAACCGCATCGAACGAACAGATGAATGAATGAATGAAGGTCTTCTACACGCCTTAATGAACTGACAAGAAAGGGTAGGGCGGTAGAGCGGAAGAGGGGCAGGGACTGCGAGGACGTATATACACGGAGAGGGAATGGATTTTCACACGCGAAACTGAATAGCATTCCGACATGTTTTTGGGAACAGGACCGTTTTCCCACGATTAATCGTAAACACATTATTAGCACTAATAAAACATTGCCTTCGCACCTTTCAGCCATTCGCACACTTGGTCTGTTTTCCACTCGGCTACATTGACATACGCCATGACCCGACCGTATATCGATTCCCGCACGAAATACTAAAGTTCTTACAATCCGTCCGTTGCCATCCCATTCGCACTATCCGCTCTGTCGATAATTCTGCTTTGTAATGTCAGTCTCGAGCGCGCGCGGTCGGTGCGTGCAGCACCGCGTCGATCGAGCAGTGTTGTCAGGCGAACAAATGGCATGGCGAACAAATGGCATTAAGCAAAGTTCCTAGAAATGTCTAGAAAGAACTTCCTTCTTATTGGACGTTAAACACAGTGTAAACATTAATTATTGGACGATATATGTATAGGTCTAGTTTCCACTGTATACTAAATTTTGTTTTACTTCGAATTGAAATTAGATTAAAACTACATAATATATAAGAGAAAAAAAAACAGCGGGATTGTGTTTTTCTCTCTTTGTTTTTGTTAAACGATCATGCTACTACAAATATTTTTCTATAACACGATCAGCTGAAATGAAGATGTGCCAAAACATGCAGCGCACAGCAAGTGGTTGGTAGTGATGTAGTATCCAATCGATGCTTTTTTGAAAGCGAAACGAGAGCGGGATTTACGCACAACTTCTTTTCACAGTTGACGCATAGCATGTATTCTTACATGCTTGAACGTTCTTACTTAGAGAGTGGCGTTTTTATACAAATTGTTGCGTTACGAGTTTTGAGAAATAAACATCTTTCAAGAACAATTTAATTGTTTCAGTATTAAAGTAAATATTAAGTACAGATGTTTGCAAAACGATAACGATGAAGTTACATTGCTATATTGCGTTTTGCGATAGAACATTATCTTACAACAAGTCACGGCAAAAATCTATATTAACATTCGCTAAGAAATCTGCAGAATGTCCAGATCCATACCTTTATTGGCAAATAATAGGGAAATCACAAGTCGAAAAATATGAGGTAAGGTGCATAATAGGTTTTCTTTGATCATAAATTATCTATCAGATTTTTTAAACTTAAAAGACAAATTAGCTTTAACATTTATTAATAATTTCTATAGTATCTGCAATGTTTTAATTGTTTTCATTATCTTTAAAAAATAGCAAACAAATCTCACAATTTTTTCAGATTATTGATAACATAGAACGGATGTTCCATAAGTATGTCAATGCGGGCAAGGCTACAATTCAATTTAAACAACCCTGTCATAATCTAATTATTCAAAGTGAAGATATCCTTCAATTAAGAATGTTTCTTAATATACTGTATCAGACAAGAAATGAGGGAAAGATAACTATAAAAAATATTCCTATATTTAATCCTACAGTTAATGTTAAATCTCTGAAACAAAAGTTTCAGGCAACAAAAGTTGTAATAAAGAAAATATCTGAATATCCAGTTTTACAAGGTTTTCCAAAAACAACACAACAACTTTTTATAACTGGATTAAACAGAAGGTCCTTTGACCGACAAATTTTGCAACTGCAAAGTCTAAGAGTTTTAGATCTATCAAAAAATTCTCTTATTTTCTTGCCAAAAGAATTGGGCACTTTGCCAAATCTTCAGAATCTTAATCTATCACACAATTGTCTTGGACTGAATCAATCTTGTCCTGTATCTAAATGGGAATGGCTAGAACAATCTGCTATTAAGAGTAAATTGACTAACCTTGAAATAAATCATAATCAGGTAAATCATAATTTTTCTCTAGCTGCTAAGATATCATGCAAATAATCAATGAAACAAATTATCTATAAAAATATTTAATTTATTATTATACTTTACTTTTATGTTATTATATTTACTGTAGTTACTATAATTCCTTACCAGTTATTAATAATTTATTTTATTATTTGTAGCTAAAAGAATTACCAGTACAAGTTGGAAAGTTAAAAGCTTTGATTAGATTGAGTGTTTGTAACAATCTTTTAACAGAGTTACCCCAAAATATTGGAAATCTGAAAAATTTAAACTTTTTATTCTTGTCAAACAACAAATTGACATTTTTACCAGGAACTATAAAATACTTGAAACTGCAGTTTCTAAATATTACAGAGAATCTCTTTGCAGAATGTAAAAATGAAATAAATAATAACATACAATGGCTAACCCTTGAAGAATTGGCTGCTAAAGTAATTCTACAATTTAGGTTTGTTGCTTCTACTTTTTTCTACTTTTATTGTATATATAATTTGATGATTTGATGATTGAAATTTGTAATACGAATTAGAATAATAATTATGATATATTTTCAGGTTACAATATAATGTACGGTTACCAAATATATTGTCTAAAAATTTAGATGAAGCAAAATATTGCTACACATGTGGAAATGCCTGCTTTGGTTCTTATATAAGAAAAGTTAATAGTTTTTCTCCAGCTATGATAGCTCTTGAGTATCAATGGGCAGAAAAACATGCAAAACTTGAGTGTTATTTTTGCTCAACAAAATGTTTTTATGGCAAAATGTGATGTGTAAATACTAAAGTGTAAATGTAAATCTAAAATGTTTTAATATTTCTATTTACATAAAACTTAGTATAATTAAAATAATTCTAATAGAAATAAACTATTTTATAGATTCTTTACATCATATTTATTTTATATACTGTATCCGTAATAAATTCTTTGTACTATCAGTTTAGCAAATATATTTTTATTACTTCTCTTCTCTGAATAATTTTAATTAAACAACAAAAATATTAATATAAAATTTATTGCTATTAAAAACAATAAATATCAATACAACTTTTTGTAGTATACAAAATTTTCTACCATATATTCTACCATGTTTACAAAATATTGATATATTATTACATAGTAACAATACAAAACATTATATAATATGTGCATAATAAAATGTATTACTGTTTATAAAATGAAGATTGTTGTATAAGATACTCATTCATCATATTGTAGCCCAAATTATTGTATTAATCATTATGAATCTTATAACCTAAAGATTTCTTATGTTACAAGGTGAAGCCATTTCTATTTTTTCTAATACGCCAATGAATATGTTTTTACAGCATAAAAAATTACAGTTTTTACAGTTTTACATCCCATTTTATCTGATGTAATGAATCTGTTCTTGCATATTTACATGATATTTCTTAACGTAAAAAGACAACATATTTATGTATAACGTAACAAACACTAAACATATTTATGATATTTATTAATTACGTTGTACTGTTTTCTTTATAAAGTCATAGGAAGTATCATCTGTTCTTGTGTTGAGAAAGTAACTTTTTGGCGTTATTTTCGTCTTTTTACCAATGCGTTGTGAGGTAAAATCCACATCTTTGTATTTTGTTGTATCTATTCCTCTTTGTAAAGGATGAATAAATATTCCATCCTCTTCACCATGAGGAACTGATTCCACATAATCATAATTATAATGATTATCATTATCATCATCCACTAAATCATCATCATCATCCACTACATCACTGGTTGAAACATACTGATATAAAATAA